GTGCACTCTGTTTCATCAACTTTATGATTTTTTACTTTTTGAACAAAGTCTTCAGTATTCTTAATGCTATAACCATTTTCTCCAACTAATGGCTTCAAAATGTCGGCAAGGTATTTTGCCAAATTGTACGTGAGACTTCCAATACTGGATAGTATTGGTCTCAATGGTATGTTTAAGTCTCAATAAATTAAAAATATTCTCTGAAGTAAAGAATTTGACTTGTTTCTGATATATTAACCAGAGAGATGAACTTACATAGAACTAGTTCAAAACATTTTACTGTAGGCTGTAGGCTAGTAGGCTAGGCCTAAGTGGTTGGTCAGTTATGGCATTACTTGGTAAGAGGGATAATCTTAGATGCTATCATACAAAATTAATATAAGTTGCTAGAAATATCTTCATTTATTCCATAGTTAGCATGATATTTATAGGCTAACATGTGAAAATAAAAACAGTATTTTTGCAATCAGTGGTAAAATATGATATTTTTGACAAATTTTCACTTAACCATAGCATACGGTTTTTTAGCCATGACATACGGCGCCGTATGCGATGGTTTATGGATTCTTGCTACTTCAGACTCAAAACGAGGCTAAGTGTCAACATCGCTGGATCCTTTGGAAAATTCGAATTAAATATATCATATCCATTCGTGGATAAAAATCATATCACTCATAAATCATAGGATATCCTCTATATATGTACGTACAAAGATTCTATTATACATTGGCATTACCTGAATTAGACGTGGATTTAAACTTATCAGCCCCTCCCTGTTGTATATTGTATTTTGGTTCCGCCATATTTTGGCGAGCAATACCTCATTGGTATATTCAGTATTTTTTACACTTAAAGACAGAGCTAGAAACTCCTCCTTTGAGGAACCCTGTGTTGTACACCGCTAGACACCATAGTCATCAGAATACATGTTACAATCATTTGCTGCTTATTACATGGTATTGTGAAGCTGTCTTGGCCTCAATCAACTTAGTTGGTTCCTAGCACCTGTATTTGGCATCCTACTACAGGTCACCAGATGATAAAAGTCAAGCGCAGCCTGGTTGAACTTCAGAAATCCCTGGACATCTTCCCTAAACAATACTTCCAATCACACACTTGGGTCAGCAGTGATTTTAATCCCTTGCACTTCTCATGGGGCATTGTAGAAGCACAAATTCCATGAATTCTACCTAGCATGCCAGATCACCATTCACCAACTCCTTTCTAGCCTGCGTTCTCCCATCTGTTCTTTTTATTTATTTTAAGGGGTTGAATTTATTGTAACCTGAAACATTTACCTGTATTAATCTGAAAGGAACTGCATGGTACCTTTATCCTGGCTATGACCATAGGCAGTTCGAGCCAGCGCCAGCCTTTTATCCTAAGTCAGCAGCACTCTAGTAATTCAGATAATCAGTTTGTCTATATAATCTATATTGGTTAAACCTACATGCCAGAGCCTGGTTTTGAATCCAGAACCTAGTCATTACTCCACACAGATTCAACCATACAAATACCAACAAATACATATACCACACATTGGCATACCCCCCCCCCCCTGCTCCCCTCCATAATCAATAAAAATAAAACCATTAGCTTTAAAATGCTTTTTATTTGAAGTTTCTAGCTCAATTTTGAAGGAAGTTTCATCAATTTTTATAAAATTCAAATCAAATCTTAAATTTTTTTTGGCTCGAACCCCCCCCCCCCCCCCCCCGCCCCCTTCCTACCGGAAACCAAAAATGTTGGTGAACGCAACCACCCTGACTGAAAACTTGCTACGCCCATGCCACAGCCTTTTATTTTATACAAGTCACTGTTCAGTCAAACACCCTGAATTACATACTGCACAAACATATTTGTCTGAACTTGGAATCATACCCCGTGCTAATCGATACCCTAGAATGGTAACCTTGGGTCGACTTTTGTTGAAATTCACTCCTTGATTGAAAAAGTGTATTTCCACCATTGAGTTTTTTTATCAATCAATCAAACGCATCAAGCTAATAATGATATCTAATAATCGAGAAGGTACATCATAGTACTCCATGAAACATCATTTTCACAATTATTATTATTATGAGCTTTATTATACTTGTATCCCACATTTGGGCAAAGTGTACAGCTTAAACAGAAAAAAAAATGAAAAAGCTTAACTAATTATCTATATAGTATATTAACTAATCAAAGGGTGCTTGATCATCCGTTTATGGTCGTAAATTCGCTGACCAGTCTAGAGTATCAACAGTTCCTTTATCGATAGTATCTTTGATACTATGCCCTACATGTATGTCTTGACTTAAAACCGTAAACGGAATGAATGAGTAAAATTCGTAATTACATTCTTAATTACCATAGTTTTACAAAATAATGAAACATCTTAACTAAATAACGTTTAATTCGTCTAGTGTAGTCACTGATGATCAGTTTAGATTACCATCAGGCCCCGAATCTAGTATCTTTGATACTGTTGCCTATATCTTGGCCGAGATCCATAAAAGTTATTGTTGCTGGTCATGTTATTGTTGTTACGATGTGCTGGTTGGGAGAGATTACAAAACTTTCTAACCGTGCGAAGTATATTCCTGCAGAGCATTCTAGTTCCTTGTTCGTTAATATGTACGTTATCTCTGTAGAGATGGGGTTTCGGTTGGCCATTCAGTCCAAGATTGTCATTGGGGCAGCATGTGACGTTGTCGTTATCGTGGAATAGTACTTCCAATTGGCTAGCTATAGATTTCTGACGGAGGTTCCATTTTGGGTTGTCTTTTCTCGGTGGTGGTAAGGACACTACAATCTTCAAGTTCGGAGCCTTTGTTTCGTTGAGTTTGACCAGTTCCTCCATCGATTTGATGATCCTTTCATCTGATTGTACTGATTTGACATCATTACTTAACACCTGGAACACTGTTATGTCTGGTTTTGAAGTTGAACCATTTACGTAATCTTTAGCCTGTTGAATTGTATAGGCCTGTTCAACTGACACGTTAAGTCCGCTCATCCTCTTGCCATCCACATGGGACAAAATGCTTGATCCGATTAGTTTAACAGTTGGTTCCTTCTCGCTATTCTCATCGTTGGTTATTTCTATTAGATTGTTAGATTTCCTGGTTACCACTGTGTAAGGCGTGTCGTCTTTCTTCTCGTGTGCTAATTTTTTGCACTGGAGTTTGAGTTCAAAATTTTCCTCTTCCTTATCTTCTAAATACTGGTTTTTATTTTTTATTCTTTGTTGTAGCTCTTCCATTTCATTCTTATTTGATCTGATAACTGAATCCTGTTTCTCCACTTTCTTCCTCAGTGTGTTAAGATCGTGAAGTTCATCATCTTGTTTGGATATTACTTGCATCTTTGATTGAATCTTTTCATTTAGTTCTTCGATTTCCTTGTTTTTTGAACTTATAATTGTTTGTTGGTGATCAATTTCACTTTGATACGCCTTAATTTTTCTGGCTTGGTCTGTAACAAAATCAGCTTGTTCTTTTCTTATCTTTCTTACTCTGCGTAATTCTGTATCATGCTCGCAAGTCGATTCTTCTCCTGAGCATCGCGTTTCTTTCTGTGATACGTTGTTCACACTCACTTTGTCTATTAGATCGCAAACTGTATTTTCTAATTTTTCCATCTTTCTAGTTATTTTTGACAGTTCTTGCTGAAGGATGCTGGTCTCACAACTCTTTGTATTATTGGATTCGGTTTCAGACACGTTATCTGTTGAAGTTACTTTTGTTTTTTTGTCGCCATCCTTATTTTTTACAGTTAGAGTCTCGTTATTTACAATTGGAGTCTCGTTATTTTTTACAGTTGGAGTCTCGTTATTTACAGTTGGAGTCTCGTTATTTACAGTTAGAGTCTCGTTATTTACAGCTGGATTTTCGTTATCGTGATTATTGTGGTTCATGATGTTATTTTCGTGAACGTTGTTATCTTCCAAATCCTCTATCTCGTTCTCGTCCTGTGCATTTTCATGGTCTGGTTGAGTACATCTTAGTTTTACATTTGTGACCTCGTTGTCGTGATAATCATTGTTTATGGTATCATTTTCTGTGCTTTTTATCTCATGATCGTTAATATCGGTTGTAGATGTTATGCTCTTTATCTGTGTATTTGACTGATCTTGAGTATTGTCCTTTTTTTCTGTGTTTGATTGCTTGATCTGATAAGTAGTGCTTTTCAAGATTGGAAACACCTGGGATTTGAATTCAGTGATGTTATTTCCTTGTATTTGAATGGTTCCAGTTGTTAAGAAAACTGTTACTTTATACTCTGATGCTTCTACACTGATCTTCTTTAGATCCTCACAGATTTCCATTTGTTTGTTGTTATAGTCTTCATAATATAGGTGTAATGTTATTATCCAGTTTAACAACCCATCTTGATTCGTTCTGAACACACAGTATGTATCTGAGCTGCAATGTTCATTGAGAGAGTCCAGCGTTGCTAATTTAGATTTAGATCCGGTTGCTTTCTTTAGTTTACTCGGAACGTGCTTCCTGTAATGACTACCAATGGTTTGAATACGTTTCACAACTTCCTTGTTGGACATAAAGACTTTAAAATCAGACATCGTAGCTACCCGGTTATTTCACTAAATATGATTACTGAACGTTACACTGTATGAAACGAATTTTACACTGCACGAAACGTTGTCTTTTTAACGTAGTCAAATAGCAACGTTTTTAGAGTTAGTATATGGGGTCTATCGACCGCAGTCGCCGATAATACAATTAAAATGTCAAAACGTGATATAAACTGTTGTCGTAACCTGTTTTAGCGTTTTGTTCTTCATACAATCCTTGCGTTAAGGTAAGTAAATCCTTTGTATAAAGTTCCTTGTTGAGTTTATTCACTCCAATATGTCGGGATATACGATATTTGAGTATTAATTTGGAGAGCGCATTTTTAGTCTGCTTTCAATAAGAAGACCCCTTGACATATACAATTGATTAAGTATTTGATGAGGTAACATTGTCAATTTAAATCTTGTTGAATATTTTCAGATCTGTTGAATACATTTCTGAGTTCTGAGGATGTAGTTGGCATTACTGCAGCAGTCTTCCACTTCGCCAATTTCTCCTTATACTGAAGACACTACAGCATTCAAGAATGGAAGAAATTCCGCCTAAAGACAGCGAGGCATCAAGCAAAGGGAGCACAGCACAACGGTCATTTCAGACTTATGTTGTACTGGAGCTCAATTATGAGGCACCACCAGCTACTGTAGAATGGGTAATTTATGTATTTTATTACTTGGTTACATATATTTTGTAATATACATTTATACTAACTTTATCCCTGGGTGATTTAAAGTTTGTTCCTGGGATTATATCCTGGGGCCAAGGCCCTAGGTCCCAAGGGTATATATACATGTATAACAGATTTTTAGCTTTCAAATTAAACCCATAAAATGACAGAGGTGTTGCTGATTAGTCATCATACTTTTTCAGATAAGTTGTTAATTTTGTAGAAATTGATCATATCCTACCTAGATTTTGCGAATCTACGAGCCATGCAAGGCTGATCGCGCTCTGTGGAAATGGAAAACTGGGAGAAGTGACCAATTAGTCATAATATTATACAGCTAATTCAATTGTATATTTCAGTTGTTGTCACATATACAGTCCCCCAAGTCCAGAGGTGGAGCACAGTTAGAGGCCATCACAGTACTGAACCATAAAGGCCAGGTAAATAATTAGATATTTCATCATTATTTTGTCTCAATGAAAATATATTTAATAGTACATCACCATAGAAACATGCCTCTATGTATTATACATGCAGGCATTTTTCTATGGTGATGTGAATGTCTGTCAATGGTGATGGGCACATACTTAAATTTGTTGATTTTTGATATTGGCAATAACAATTCCATATATCGTATTTAATTGTCCTTTATGACTTCGTCATAGTAGTAACCATGGTGATAATTGAAACAGAGTTGAACTTAAGAGTTCCACTTCAAAATAACTTGAGGGTTTGCTTCTATGTTGTTCAACTATATACAATGCACTTTAGAATGGTGAAAAATAATAAAATTTTAATATCTTAATCAATTTCTCGTCATCACGAAAATAAAAATTGTTCACCTACTTTGAAAGAAAATCCCGAAGAGCACTGAAACGTTTCACTCAAGTCAAATCATCACACACACTGACATCATTTGTACTTATGTTCAACAGGATAACATACCAGTTATTGGGAGCCTGATGGGGAAAAATGATGGGCCTTCTAAGCCAGTATGATATTTTCTAAAATATACTCTGTAGTTCTGACAGTGCATGCCTAAAGTAGTGTAGACTAATCCTCACAATGTCAATCTAAAATGTGGTCTTCAATTGTGCATGTTATGTGTATAATACAATTTGCAACTTTGGGATGACTGATATTTAGTGAATCGTACTTAATTTTTTAAACCAAGTTATGACGGCGCCATTTTCAGATTTTTTGATTGTATTGTTAGAACTTGACGTGTCTATTCCGACCATCATGGAGAAATTTCTCTGATGATGGAAATTTTTGTTGCCTTGATGTATGCTCGGCTGTACATATGCTGTACGCCTATGCATTTTGCATTGCGACAATGTGACAGAGAAGGGGTTGGTTATGAAATATTTTTGCTTTTTTCTTCCTGGCTATGCCACTGATATATCATATTTTTTGCAATTCAAATCTTGCCTCGAAACTATTCGATATTAATTAACGATTGTTGCACCCCAACATTTTTTATTGTACAAATGCACTTGATTTAGTTCATTTTTGTTGAAATATTTTGTCTATTATTTAAATAGATAATTGAATGTATTATACATGTGTATTAGCTTTGTAACTTGCTTTTCTTTAGATATTTGCATGACTAGCTGCTGCTTAAATAACATTATAACATACAACTTGTGTGTTTATGGTAAGACAAGCAAAGGAAGTATGAGTTGTAATCTTGCTGAAAACCTGTGTGTTAATGACAACATTTGCTGGAAATCTAATAACATTTTGGGTTAAAATCTTGCTCTCTAATTATAGATATTGTAATTAAAAACATTGAATTCATAAAAATAAAATCAGCCTAACAACATACCCCCAAACATGAATTGCACTTTCCACTTATTGATACAGACTCTATTCTAAACTTTTCCGATTATATAACAATTCTATTATATGTTTGTTTGATGCTTTTTTCAACTTTTTGACATAGTTTGGCACTTATAGACCACCTTTTAATATGTAATTTCTAGCTTGAACATATCTTATGATTAAATTCCTTTTTGCTTTTTTGAATACACTTTCTAGTATGAATACATTTCCTAGTGTGAATTGTAACTTAGTTTAGATACATTTTCTAGTATGAATCCATATCCTAATGTAGATGCATTTTAGTATGGATACATTTCCTAGTTTGGAGACATTTTCTAGTGTGAATACTTTTTCTTCTATGAATATATTATCTAGTGTAAACAGATTTCCTAGAACGAATACAATTTTAACATCTAGTTTGGATCCATTTCCTAATATTGAAATGTTATGTAACTAGTTCAATGAGTTTATCATGTGAGTCTACTAACTAATTTAATATGTTCAAACTAGAGCGCCATCTGGTGGCTGAATAAACACGTTTTAATGTGAACACTTGTCTTCGTTTCATAAATATGAATACATTTCCTCATCTGAATACATTTTTTTGTGTACTTTTTCTTAAAATAAAAATCTTCACTATATTGTACAATAACAGTGTTAAAGTGTTAACTGTCCTTTTGATAGGGTGGTACATTGTCGAGTGGCTTGTCGTGCTGTAATTTGTGATGTGTGCTGAAATAGAATGCTATAGATAGAAGGAACTGTTTGAAATAGTTGTATTATTTGTATTCTCAAATTTAGGAAAAAATTGCTTCGTAAAAGTAAACTGATGCAGATCATCTCACGTTCTTGCACCACATTTTGTAAGAATCAAATTTATATGATATGAAACTCAAAAATTGTAATTTTTGTATTAAAAATATAATGATTTTATGTTTCCTATTTTAGGAGAAGATTGTTCACTTGAGTATCGATACAGAACGCATGCTTCTATTAGCAGAACTCATGGAGATTCGCAAAGTTTACGCAGATGGAACTTTACGAGAGTTCCTCCGTGAGGATAGGGATAATTTCAAAGATTCTGGTAAGTAGTCTACTAATCATTCTCATATGTAACATCTACCATCAATATGCAATCGTAATATTAGGCTTTTTCCATATTGGAATAACATAAATTAAAAATATTACATTGTTATACCTTTATTTACCAGGCTGACATGTGCTAAATTAACATGTATAGACCCTACATAAAACTAGTTGACACAATCTCACTTTATTTCCAGTATAGTAGCTTGGGTGTAACAATATTTTAACATAACATAATAGCTTTTATGTAATGTGTAGAATCTTAGATATTAGTTGCAGTTGTTGTCATAACAGATAAATATCAAAATATTGATGCATGCTCGTGTTCTCAAATGTATTTTTATTGCACTTATGGAATTGTTTTGCTGGCAGTGTGCTTGTGGACATAAATGAAATTGTGATGGCTTCCGCCCCATCCCACTCTATGCTATGCAGTATTGGAGCGGATTTTTATCTTTGTGAAGCCATTTTGAATTCTGAGAATTTGGGATGTTTTTATACTAAGATTATTGTCATCACACTTCAAGCAAAATCATGCTCATGCTAAGTGTATTGACCCTGTGCATCAGTGTGACGTCATGCCTTTGTCCGGCCAGAAAATATTGCTGGCCGTCTAGAAAACGTCATAAGCAACCAGTGCTCAAAATGGCGACGAAGTGATGAGAAAAAGTTAAACGAGTATGGCTTAATGCTGCGTTGCTGTTGAATGTTCGAATAGAGAACAAGTCGGCATTACGTTTTATCGCTTTCCGAGTGACAAGAAGTCACCTGTAAAAAGAAAGCTATGGATAAATGCTGTAAAAAGGCAAAACTGGGAACCAAAAGAACACGATCGACTTTGCAGCCCTCATTTCTTGCCAGGTACAGTGTAGTAATCGGAACAGACCTGGTTTTCTAAATAATAAGTAAAATAAAATTTTATTAATTATAAAGTTATCAGCAAATAATGCACATTCAAATACCACGCATTGTGTTAATAACGCTATCATTAAACACGAGGGAAGTAGGCCTATGTAAGTAATATTATGTGACTGTCGGTGAGCCACGTTGATTTTCACGGGCATTTATGCATGTACTTTTTATGGAGAAAACTAAGAACTTAAAATAAACCTTTGTAATATTTCTTTGGATATTGATGTGCGCTTCACTCGAATATCAATCATAGTGTTTGCAACCCGTTTTAATTTTTAAAATTGAGATCCCTTTCTAACATTGATAAATGTATAATGTTCCATAAAGAGGATAAAACGTTCATTTATTCAAATTACGTTTTGATAGGTTTTTGAGGCGTAAACTAAAAGTAGACCTCTAATACGCCTTACTTTATACTTACTTTACTTATTATAAGCATATAGACCAAAACTGCGCTTAAAACTTAACAATTATATATAGTCAAAATGACCAAATCTAAACCTGATAAACTGAGACAATTTTAGAATGTACCTCAATGACAGGCCTATAGACCAAAAGTGTGCATTAAAAACTCTAATGATTACACAAGTGACCATAAGTACGCCTCAAAAACTCAAAAAATTGCAAGCAACATCTGAGACTAACATAAAAGGTAAAAAAATATTGTCCCTTATTTAAGTTTCAATAAATAATGTAGCTTGATCATTTGATTTCACTTGCTGTTGGATAGGATATGAAATGATTCAAAATACTAGTCCATGTCCGTGCGATTGGTATCAATTCATCATGTTCATATAGTTTTGATTACAATCAGAATTCTCAATTTTGAGAATTCACTTTCAAGTCACATTTCCTTTAATCTATCTGTAATCACTAATTAACTAGATCAATACGTTCTCGATTTCCTCTGCCCACCAACAACACTGTTATTTAAGGGCGGAAATTTCCTCTATGTCCATGGTAAGAGCCAAGGGTAGATGGGGGGGGGGGGCTGGAACTCTTACAGGCCAAAATTTCAATAACATGCAGTTTTCATCATTTTTTGGACACTTTCAAAGAGCTCTTTGAATCTCAGGGCCGTTAGATGGGGGAGGGGGTGTCCAGATATCACTATATCTAGGATGTTGATCTGACATTATTTATGCCGGGATACCTTCTTGCACCCCCATCCCCCGGCCCCATCCCTAGCCTTTTCCAAGTCGGTATTTTTTACTTATCTGATCTTGAATAATAGAAATCAAGATAGGAAAAAGATACCGACTTGGGCAAGGCTACCCCATCCACCCTATTCTAATCTTTCTGGAAACTACTCCCCATGTGGTGCGATCCCATTCTGATACTCATAGCATCTTTCTGTTTCACCTGAAACATCATCTCAGGACTGAGAAGAAATGAGATGTCATGGTTTATCATGATGTGCGATCGTGGCATAACTTAAGCGAGTCCAAAAAATGTTAAGATTTATTTTGAATTTTACCAAAATTGATGCATCTTACAAAATTCTTCAAAAATGAGATTGAAACTTTAAATAAAAAAATTGAAAGCTCTTTTCTTCTATCTATCGCACTCGCAACCCCCCCCCCCCCCCCCCTCTGCCGTCCAGAGAGAGAGTCCAGAGATAGTTTGCAAAGCGTGCTCACGGCTTTCCATGGAAAACATCACCAGTTGCAACTAGTCTCTTTTTTCTTTTTAATTTTTTTTCTTTTTAAAGTTGCAACTAGTCTCTTCAACTGTCACTGACTGAAGATCACCTAGACACAGTTACATTATGTCAAGGTGAATACAAAATGTGCCCTTTTTGGAATGTTCAGGATTCACGATGGTCAGAACGAGATTGTATTTTTGATAAAACAAATGTATTACCTGTAAGCAGGTTTCAACGGATTTTGATACACATTTTAATTTTTGCCGTGTGTCCTATTATGATTACAACCAGCAGTTTCCTAGATAAACATGACAACCGGGAGATAGTCTTCGGGCTGACATCTCGAAGCTGTTGTTTATGACTTTAATACGGTATATCAATATTGATTTCCTCGCAAAGTATTAAAAAACAATTCGTCTTTTGATAGGCTTTTTTCAAAAAATTTACACTTAGCTTACATCATTTTAATTCATTCAAACCTAAGACTCGTGCAAATTATGTATGATTCTAATGATTTGATATGGTGATCAGAAGTGTGCATTAAACAAAATAGAAGTTCAAACAATACAAATCTGAAATTGCTAGAAGGCATCGTGTGCCTCCCAAGGCCAGTAACATATCTATGCAAATAAATAAACAGTGTCGACCCACATGATAAATGGCTATAGGTCCTTAGAAGCTTGAAAAACTATTTCTAGACTACTCCACGGTATATCTTCTGTAATCAAGGTGGTTCAGCAGTTATAAAAATAAGGAAGTATTTGGATTATAAGGAATTAATATTTTGTTTTCATTTGATAATATTCATAATTGGTTCATGGGCATTCCATGCTTTGTTTAACAAATTTGAGACCTTTGTCTCTGATTTTTCAAAAGTGAGACCCCCAAAATTGTTTTTTTTAAATGAACTAAATGAAGTAAAGTGTATACGATAATCAGAGCCGGGATTCAGAGATACACAACTAAAATAACGAGGAATTAAAAATAGCCTATAGATCATGTAGACTGCAATCATGGACTCTCTTGAAAGCCCATGCGATAATCAAGGTAATTTGGGGATATCCCGTCTTTGAAGAAGCAAAAACGCAATCAAACAGTTAATTAGTTATAATTTAAGGTTCCTCTAACTAACCTGAGAAATTTCTTTTCTTTTCATAGCTTTCGGATGTGACTACATCCTTCGTCAGTGACGTACTGTTTGCTGATTTCCCGCCACTACAGCTGTCCTTGACCTTGACCTTGGATTAACTGTCTCCAGTAGCGATTTATCTATGAGATAACCTGAGAAACATCGTCTGCTTTAGCTGAACATTCATATGTCACAGGTCATAGGATCAATTGGAACGAGTATAGTATAGTCGATAAGGAGAGTAAGGATTTCTATAGAAAAGTTAAAGAAGCCATTCACATACATCTTGATAAGCCCATCCTTAACAGAGACTTAGTTATTGTGTGATCTAGATTACAGATCAAAGAAATCAATTCCAAGATCATTATTACTATGTATTTAGTTCGTTGTATTTTTGAAAAGGGGGACAAGAAAACTATGTATTAATATATCAAGGGCAGGGTGCTACTGAATCTGATAGTTAAAGCGTATGCTAGTATGAGGGGCGACATTTAAAGTAACGCATTGTTTTAAATCCTGGGAAAATGCACTCCCCCATTTTGCAAATATTGTGTGATGCCAATGAACCCTGAAATTTGTTTTTGTTTTCGCGAGCAATCAACAAATATGTTTATGAAAATCTTGCGAGTCCAGACATATGATATTCTGTCTCAGCTAAGTGTTGATTAGATTTTATCTCCACTCTTCCGACGTCTGTGTCTCCCTCGTTTTACCCTATATTCAGTTTCTTTTTAAACCAAATTTACAAATATCCATTCACGTATATAAATCAGTAGTTGTTTATGACAAGATTATGTTTATAGATTATCAAAAATTAAGGTAGCGTATTCTGTAATTTCAACTATATGTTAGCCCCCCTCCCCTTCGCTGACAGTATTGTTTAAAATAATACTGCATCCACTGGCCATGTTGCGATGTACTTTTCGTGACTCAAGTCGGATAAAAAGTGAAAACATACTCTTTTTGATTTGATATCCCGTATTTAGCTAAAGCAAAACATGAAATATTAACACGTGCGGTAAATTATAATTTAAATGTTTTCATATTCATCGCAAAATCTCACATGGCAATTTAATAACGACTAATTTTGTCTTGTGTCTAACCACGGCGTGCTTAGAGAGTTCTAGACTCTAGTCACGCTCTGTCCACGCCAGCTCTAAGCACGTCTAAGCACGCCTAGAAATCTCTAGATACACGGAGTTCCTAGACCGACTAGGCACATCTAGAAATTACTAGAAATTCCACATTTGATGCAGTGGTAGCGCGTAGCGTGTGTTTTCATTATAACTATATATAATGAAATATTATATAGTTTCGAAAGAAAATATGACTCTTGCGTGGTCTGAGATCGGCAAAAATAGCTTCAATAATATTTTCTTTTTGGACACCCTGTAGGTCGAAGGTGAAGGTTGAAGGGTTTTTATAACATTCCTGATCTAACTTAGATATTTGAGATGATTTCCTAGTAGAAGAAACAGTTGTTGTTTTGCTTTGCGTCATATTTGATTTTTTGATTTTCCCGGGCTTTTCTAGATGGCCAGCTGAACTGAGCTGGAAAAATGTGTATTTGTGACGTCACTCGTGCATAGGGTCAACATAGCAAGTTTTAGAGCTGCTTAAGTTTTTTGGCAGCTATCTTGAATTGTGGTAGCCATTTTAGATGTTTTTTTATCATCCTTGAATAAGAGGTGCCTGCAATGTGGCGTGAGAGCTTGCTTTTTATAACATATAACAAATTGTTTGATTTTCAGATGGAACTGCTAGTGCCCCCTATGGTAAAATAAGTAAACTACCTGCATTTTTAACGCTGCTTCAACGCTTATTGTCCAAACTGCTGCAATCATTTTTTCATATTCATCTGGGTAAACCAACGTTCTTGCTGGTTTTTAATGTCCTCACTTTTAGAATCATAGTATAAGGTGTGGATCTAACAAGAATCAAGGAATGATGGGAAAAGGCATGCAGTAATTAATCTAAATTGTATAGAAATATAAGAAGATCGGGTACATTATTCAAATTATAGAGAAACAGAGGGGATTAGTGTTATAATAAATGGTTAATTCCTGGTTTACGCAATGGGAGTTGGAGGATTTGAAATTATGTTGTTATTCATGTATTTTTTGTTGTTAAATTTCATGTTTGGTCGTTGATGATATTTTTTTATTTGTTGACATTCTGTATCCTCCAATTAGAATTTTTATTTAAGATATTTAAGTATAATAAATGATTGTAACATGTTTGACATAACATATTCTAACTGTAACATCTATTAATAAACTAATAAGAGTTTACTCTGAAATTTATGTTTCTGCATTCTGTCCCATGTGATCCCATATTCAACATGTGATTAAAAACCTCTTCTTGTAATTGTGTTGCGTGATAGTTTTGTGGTGGGTGAAAATTGCTTCGTCTCTCTTTCTATAGAAGTTAGAAAAACATGTTCTTGGTGGGGAGGTGGGGAGTATGCAAAAGGGGCGAAGTTTCGCTCGACCCCTAGGGATTTTTTGGAAATGATCCCTCCCCTTGGCAAAAGCTGGCTTATAATGGGCAGGGGCCAATTCGAAATAACAATATATTTCAGAGTTTTGCAAATTGTTGAAGACAATGGTTTTAAATCTTGATCTACACTGAAGAAAAAGATTTATTTTGAAGATTCCTGACACCCATGAATACAGCTAGTTATTCCCTGATTGTCTAATTTGATAGGCCAGTGAATATCGCCTGATCTTTTCTTGACATATGATTGGTTTCGTATCATACAATTACAAGCTTGACAATGATATTATAAAACTAATATTTATTTAACAAATTTTTAACAAACTATTAACTTAAGGAGCATGTCAAAAGATCAATGTTGCCAAATAAGCTTTATAATTTATGGGGGGGGGTGGAACCCCAAAAATAAGCTTCCCTGACATTGATCCCCAGGGAATTGTATCAGTCATTTTTAGTCCCACAACCCTCTTTGCACGCTTCCATATTGAAAATATTTCAGAGTTTTTAAAATTTTGAACTTCTTTTTCACTATAATTATGGCACAGCCAATATATAAATATTTTGCATATATAGTTAACAGGGGGAGGGGGTGTCTGGGACTTAACTTATATATAGCTTTTTGTGCTACATTGAACTTTTGACGTGTTCCCTTAAGTAAGAGGCAATTGTAAATAATATTGAACATTCTGCACATTAATACTGAATACAGTACACTGTTATTTTACTACTGAAGTTTTCAGAAAAGAAAGCATTTGAATGTCATTTGCTAAACATACCACATCAACTTGTAAACAATAAAACCTAATGCCACAGTCATAAAATTTATTTCAAAAATCCCTCCAATATGTCCATTTTTTAGTGTCAAGGAGGATTGACTCCCAGGATGGAAACTCGATATATTCAAAAAATGAAAACGTTAAAGTGTCATTATTTTCTGAGATTTAGTGTGAAATATTTAGATTTAGTTTATATTTGATTTATTGGAAATATAGTTGCATTTCAATCCAAGCCATGCATTCGTTTTTTTAATATGTTTTATTCAGCCATATTATTGATTGATCATTGTATTTCTGATATTACAGGGTGGTACTTTATATTTCTAATATTACAGGGTGGTACATTATTATTCACTGTGGTTTTAATATTTCCAGATGACCCTGATACTTTCCTTACCACAAGTGAAAAGCAGAGAATCATCCTCCATGAGCTGGAATCGGTCCACTCAACTGACCCAGAGCCTAAAATTCCTGGCTGTCCCAAACTCACACTCTATCCTTACGAGTCCATTGGTGAGTCAAGGCTTGTGTGTTTGTATGTTGCTAGGGGAGACCATGTGATGTCACAATAATGAAGTCATATGAGCAGATATACATTGCATATGGTACTAAAATGTATCACCCTTTTTAAAACTTTGATGTTTTTTACAGTTCAACATAACAACCAAAGGACCATTTCCTCAATGTTATTCTAGAGGGGCAACAATGCTCAAAATCATTCATCCACAAATTAATATGACCCACTAGGCATGTTTGAATTCATGTCGAATAAGGTCATCTTTCAAAAAACTTATGTCTACTAACTAAGTAACTTCTTTCAAATGTTTTTTCAATGAATAAAAAAAGGAATAAATTTTTTTTTAAGTAGCCCTCTGACTTCCCAAACCCCTCGCTGGAAACTTAACATACTGATATTCCTCGATGTCAGACATGTACACTTGATATTTTATTTGTAGTGCGACGTTTGATAGAAGAAGGGGTCATCTCAAAGTTATACCCTCTCCACGAACCTAAGATTCTTGAGCAACTTGGTCAAAAATGGTATGCTAAGGCAGGATATCAACCAATCAGTAAGTAGGAACAATTAAGAAACCAAACATTCCTTACAATTAGTAAACCCCAACGATGCATTATACCCAATAGATGGCATTCTTTACTGGATCGGCCTATTAAAAGTATATGAAATTATTATTAATTCCTTGAAGCAGATCTATGAAAAGCAACATGCACTAAAATTACCTGCTCCCACATTAAAAAATATAAATTAATAAATTAACATTTTGTTAGATTTTTTGTATCTTAATTTGATCAAAAGAGGTAATACTTACCCACAATTCCAGGTGAGATTCAGCAATATTTTGGAGAGACTATTGCAATGTACTTTGCATTTCTGGGCCATTACACCATGGGATTGATACCTCCTGCTCTCATAGGTCAGTGGCAGAAAAATAATATTTATTATTTTTGAAAATCTCTGGCTAAAAAGTAAATCAAAATCATATAAAAAGATTGCAATGATAATGTGCCAACATTAAAAACTTATGAAATTCAATACAAGTTAAATTGAACACAGACTTTTAGCATGTAAAATTCAATGTAAAAATGAAAATTGGTTTGTATTATTCTTATTACAATTGAAATGAATAAAATCAATGTTGAATTTCAGGTCTAATCTACTGGTTCACAGCATGGGAAGATATCAACAAGAACGTCTTCTTCGCCATATTTAACCTAATATGGACAACTGTATTCCTGGAAACCTGGAAACGTACAAGCGTACAGCTCTCTTATCAATGGGGTACATTGAACACGACCCAGCATGAGCGGCCAAGGGCTTCTTACTACGGTGACCTTAGTGTGAATCCAGTCACAGGATATAGGGAGCCACATTACCCGAAATGGAAGAGACAGCTGAAATTTTATTTTGTGTCATTACCAATAATATTTCTGTGTTTGGTGTTCGCGTTTTGTGTGATGGTGCTATATTTCTGGTGTCAAGAGTGGGTTGAAGGATATGACAAGGCAGAGGGTACCTGGGGCAGTATGGGAGTGTTGTACCTCCCTTGTGTGGTATATGGTGTTGTGATTGGTGTGATGAATGCTGGGTACAGGAAGCTTGCTGTAACTCTAAATAATTGGGGTAAGTTTCGATTTGATATTATCCAAAATTAAATATTGCAGGTAAATAATGAGGTAAGATATTTAATTAAGTATTGGAAAAACAATACAAATGACAACTGTTTTGATTATCTAGTAGTAAGCTTTAAAATGATAAATGATATATAATACCTTGTATCAACATTTCATAATTATAACATATGAAATTATTTGAAGTATTTTGATTTCAGAGAACCACAGACTGCAATCTGCTTATGACAACCATTTGATATTTAAACTTGTTCTGGTAAGTCTATATTACTCATAATATATGTACGACCCAACTTTTCATATGAATGATAATATAAGCATTAAATATTAAAATTAAGAACAATTTTTGTCCTTTTCTTGTTGAACAAAATTCGGGGATGACCATATGAATACTATCCAACAAGGGAATGAGCAGGTGAAACCAATTTTTGAGATGGGATAAAATAGGGATTTTTTCACTTATACAGTAGAACCTGCTCAGTGGAACACCTCTGTAAGTGGAACACCTCACATGTGGAACAGTTTTTTTAAAGTCCCATGGTCTATCTACTCCATGTTAATTAACCTGTATTAGTGGAACACATCCCAAGTTGAACACTTTTTATGGTCCTAAGGATGGGATGTTCCACTTACATAGGTTCTACTGTATTACCTGGGGTCATACACCAGTAAGAAATAGTATCATGACATAAAAATATTCAGGAATTTCTGTTCACTCTCTTCATAATTTTACATTCTTAAATCAATATCTTGAATAATGATTTTCCTTTTCAATAAAATAATTTTCTATTTCAGCATGACTTTGTGAACTGTTTCGTCAGTTTATTCTGGGTGGCGTTTTACATGCAAGACTTGAGCAGATTAAAATATGTGAGTTCATTTACATTTTGATTTAGTGCATCTAATGAAAATAATCCAATGCATTTAACAAATAAGAACTGAATCAAAAGGGTCCATGATAAAGTAATATATAAAGTCATAGTATATACGTTTTTATATTATCACATGATTGTATCATTGGACTGTAACACATTGACATTTTGGTAGCTATAGCAACTGGGATTTATCCTTAAGAAATGACATACATTATTAACATAGCCTATTGTGTTGTTTTTGATTACAGTTGTTGACATCGCTTCTCATAACTCAACAGCTGATTGGCCAGATTCTAGAGGCTGCTGTGCCATTTTATTTCTATCGTCAAAGAGCCAAGGGGGTGGTGAAACTACAAGAGGGGGGTCAGGAGAAGAAACAGGAAGGGGGACTAGAGCTAGTCAAAGATGGGGAGACAACTGAGTCCACCCAGGATACACATAAGCATATATCTGAGAGCACAAAGAGACAGGCTGAGCTGGAGAGTGTTATGGAGCCATTTAATGTAAGCTTATATCTTCCCTGTTTGCTTGAGAAATATCTACTCTTTTCCAGAGGAAAAGGCACACAGAACTCACAATGAAAAGTGATGCTCAAAATACAAATGTTTCTGTTGATGTAGTTTGGTCACTGTTTTTTTGTTAATGTGCATGACTTATATTCATAAATGTTAAACTTATTAAAAGTGAAAACTTGCATGATGTTAAAGGGTGTTTATTTCAATCTCATCAACTGCAATGACATGATTGGTTGAAAAAAATCTTCTTAAAACAAAAATTAGTTCAAGAGTGTAATGCAGGTACTCACTTTTAAAAAAATCCTTGTTTTAAAGCAGGCTTTTATGTTAAACTAACTCATACGTTTTAATTTCAGAGTGTACTTGATGATTATCTTGAGATGTTCCTGCAGTTTGGTTATGTTTTCCTCTTTTCCTCTGTCTTCCCGCTGGCTGCATTCTGGGCACTTCTCAATAATGTCACAGAGGTGCGCACAGACGCCTTCAAGCTTTGTCGCATCTTCCAGCGCCCCACAGCCCAGCCAACTGACAGCATTGGTGCCTGGCAGGTAAGGGCTATCATGATCTTAAATGAATATTTACTTACAAAAGCAGCCATCTCAGACTCTACAAATCAACATGGTAGTGCCCAGTAGATTTTTCAATATTTTTTACCCTGAGCAAAGTAGATGATGTTGATCTTGTAAGAAGTAAAGTCAAACGTATCATATCGATATTTCCCTCAGTCACTGCATCCCCTCTGGAAATATTGATATCATCCTTGTGATTCCCCATATCAAACCCCTCCTGGTAATAAATACTTTATATTGAAGGTTGCATTTGAGTTGATGGGTGTAATATCAGTTATCACGAACACTGCCCTGATAGGCATGTCCCCGACAGTACAGGCTTCTCTAGGACACTTGGGGCCTGTTAACATGCTGCTCCTCTTTGTCATAGTAGAGGTATGTTGCTTTCATTAAAAAAGTATTTTGTTCTCTATGTGTATCGTTTATGATATAGTTTTGTCAATTTCAAATAAATAAAAGGCCTTAGGCTCATATTTTATAAAAAAAATAATTGACTAAATATTATATTAAGAGTTCCTGTCTGTCTGAGATTAATGTTCTTTACCAGAATGTTACTCAGTGACAATTCAGTACTAAGACTTAAGTGCTTTTGTTCACATTAGATAATAAAAATACATTAATTTCATTTAATGAAGGTTTTCACAATGTTTTGCTATGGACATTTCAATAATTTTAATCCTTCCACAATTACAGTTGCAACTGTTGGATGTTCACCTTGAAAATAGGTCCATGAATTGTGTGTTGATTTTTGCAGCATATGGTACTTGGGATCAAGGTTGCTATATCATATTTGATTCCTGATACACCAGATTGGGTAGATGTTGCACTGGCGCGTGCTGACTACCAGACTAAGCAGGTCTGGCGTAAACAGGTTCGTACATGGGAGCACACACATGAACATTGTTTATGATGATAGCTCCAACTTAGTACCTGTGACATTAAAAATGCACAGAGTATATACAGCATTGCAGTACATTTTTGAATGTTCAATAAACATAATTTAATAAATTCAATTCTGTTTAAAAAGGTTAAAGGATAACACCTTATTTCATGATGTATTTAACTGCCATGAAAGAGAGAGGTTTAATCAAAGTGTGACATACATCAACAAATCTGACCCAGGTGATTAATACAGTCACACATATGATCACTTTGGGATGTTTGATGTGTGATGAATCTTAAATGGACAGGGTGTTTCATAATAACCTTCCCCATCCAACCACAACTGTATTTGACTCCCATATGGGGCCCTGCATTATAATCGAATTTGTTCTTCCAGAAACTTCAAGAAATCCACAGTTCAAGATTAAAGCAAGAAAAGGAATCTCCTGAACTCACCAACCTGAGACAAAGAAAGCCACTCATTACAGATCTTTAATACATTGGAATATGTACAAGTATATCACAGATTTCTGACTTTTGTGACCATCATAACTTATTATGTTGTCATAAGTCATTGTTTTTTCAAAAGATGAAATGTTTTTTAAACCTGTAAGAGTTATGATGTATGAAAAAAGACCTCTGTAAAATTATAGATATTCTATCAAAAGTTCATTTATCACTATCACACATTTTTGAAATGAATTTTACTGTTAAATATTTTGTCCTACATCCATAGAACCCTGTCTGTTACTGTTGAAGAAATATTTACAGTGAGATTTATCTTAAAAATATATTTGATTGATGAACTTTTGAGATAATGTTAACACTGCCAGACAGATAACAGATAAACATTCACTTTCAAAATAATAAATCTGTAACGACAACATCGCAAGTCTTGACATTCTCTTGAAACAGTTGAACTAACTCTTACCAGTTAAACATGTTTCTCAGATCACTTTGTTACAGATGTGGATAACTAGTCATTGAAAAAGGATTTTTTCTAAAGGACTCAGGTTTAAATTTTTTCTGGTTGTGCTAATATTCCTATTGCCATTTCTCATTTTCCATTTAATGATTAATTGATTCCTATGTGAAGTTTTGAGGAGTATACCCTGCCTATTTACTTTCTTGTTTCATTTTTTGTAAATTTTTTTAATTATGACATTTCTAGTGGTGCTCATAACTATATTTTAATGAAATCCATAATGATTCCTCAAAACTCTATTTCTTGGAATAGGAAAAAATACTCAAGAAAATTTGTTGTAAAACATTCATTTTTGAACGTTATTATTTGATTGAGAGCATTTATGTACACCAATTGAAGTTCTAGTTATATTAATATACCATTTTGTAATATATTGTTTAATATTTATATGGCAAAAATCCAGCTTATTATTCTGATGCAATATATTCATGCCTTTGAAATTGTAATTGACTTCATATCCAACAGGTGGCACAATTTACTGTTTTTTGTTGTTGTATTTACTTATTTGTAATAAGAAAGAAAGAGTAAAGTAAAGTAATTTATTTTTAATCTTAGCCATAAAATATTCCAGGTTTTTAAGGCAATTTGTATGTATATGCGTTTTTGTATTTATTTGAATCACTAAATAGTAAATTCCAGTTGCTTTAATTTAATCAGGTTAAAGATTTCAAAATCTGTAACTTTTGCATACAATCTGGATAACTTTGGAACAAATATATACTGATATATTCATAATATAATAATCCAAGTGTATTCAGTATTGTATACCATTACGAACATGCTAGCTACCCACCACTTTCAAATTTTCGTTAATTTTTGCAATTGAAGAAACTAGCAACAGACCACCGTTTTCTTTTTGATGACATACTTCTGTAGAAATGTTTCATTTGCAACATGCTCAATGGATTGTTGAAAAGTTGAAAGATGGGGGACTAAATAGTACTTATTAGGTCTTGGATCAATTTTTTGTCGCACTTGTCAATATATTAGATTTTAAATAAAACAAAAATATGTTTGTGGTGGTCATACTACTGTAATCTGCTGATCGTTTCATATGAAAACATGTCTGAACATTTTTGGACTATTTTCGTTTTTTAATTGATGCTGACAAATAATAATCTCTGTTTTCATTTATGAGAACATTTTCAAAGTAGCACTTTGTATTTTTGTTATATCATGTCCTACTACTATTTACGCTGTTACATTATATTGTGTGTACAGGGTGGGCAAAAGAGTTCCACCTTTTTTAATTTTTATCTCATTTTCACAATACTCCAAATCCAGTAAAATTTGTAGAAAATGTTCTAGATGAACTCCTGAGTGAGTGGAACATGTCAATGTCCCATTTCCTATTGACTCAATGTCAAATAAACCTATGTAAGTGGAACACCTCATAAGTGGAACACTAGAGGCACAAAAGGGTGGTCCACTTAAAAAGGTTTTATTGTGGTTAACAAAATTTAAATAGTCCATCATTTTTTAAATTTAAAAAATCCATAAACAAATTCAAAGGTCTAGGTTTGGAATTGTTAACATAAAGGTACAAGTCGTTCAAAATACATTGTGTGTGCAAACATTTTGAGTGTGTTAAAGATTGATGTGTTGATATATACTTATAATCGGTGCAATTTTTCTATTATGTTACATGTTATTAATATTTAAAATGAAAAATATAGATTAGTATATTTATGATGAAGAATTGTGTTTTGTGTTATCCATTGATGTACATTATGTATGAGTCCTATGCCCAGCCCTCAAAAGTCAAAGGTTGATTGTTATTTCACCACCAATAAGTGGTGACATATTGTTATGGTCTCCGTTTTTTTGGTGGCAGACTGACTTCAATTTTTTTCCAAATCATCTACAAGTTTTCAGAACTTCAAATCTACATTTAAGATTTGACCTTCAACAACCTTTTCAAGGTAGAACAAGAACACAAATGTGTACAATATGTCCCCACCAATGGGTTATCCCGTCTAATGGTTATCCTGAAAATGAGTAGACAAGACTTTACTGTTACAATTTTGGAATTGAAAATGCAAAATGGCCACCTTAAAATTTACCAAGAATGCCCAAAAAATTAGTCAGCTGTAGATTTTTATACTAAGAACCATCCCTGAAAATTTGAAATTGATCCGTCAAACAGTAAACCAGAAAACAAGACTTTACAGACAAGATTTTAGGATGGAAAAATCCAAAATGGCTGCCTTGACATTTGCTCAGAATGCCTAAAAACTAATCAGTTCTAGATTTTCATACTAAGAATCATCCCTAAAAATTTGAAATTGATCTACCAAACAGTTCACCTGAAAACACGTAGACAAGACTTTACAGGCAAGATTTTAGGACGGAAAAATCCAAAATGGCTGCCTTGACATTAACCCAGAATGCCAAAAAACTAATCAGATCTAGATTTTCATACTAAGAATCATCCCTAAAAATTTGAAATTGATCTACCAAACAGTTCACCTGAAAACGCGTAGACAAGACTTTACAGACAAGATTTTAGGACGGAAAATCCAAAATGGCTGCCTTGACATTTACCCAGAATGCCAAAAAACTAATCAGATCTAGATTTTCATACTAAGAATCATCCCTGAAAATTTGAAATTGATCTACCAAATGCTTCACCTGAAAACGCATAGACAAGACTTTACTGACAAGATTTTAGGAGGGAAAATCCAAAATGGCTGCCTTGACATTTACCCAGAATGCCAAAAAACTTATAAGATCTAGATTTTCATACTAAGAACCATCCCTGAAAATTTGAAATTGATCTACCAAATGCTTCACCTGGAAATGCATAGACAAGACTTTAGAGACAAGATTTTAAGACGGAAAATCCAAAATGGCTGCCTTGACATTTACCCAGAATGCCAAAAAACTAATCAGATCTAGATTTTCATACTAAGAATCATCCCTGAAAATTTGAAAATGATCTACCAAACGGTTCGCCTGAAAACGCGTAGACAAGACTTCACAGACAAGATTTTAGGACGGAAAATCCAAAATGGCTGCCTTGACATTTACCCAGAATGCCAAAAAACTAATCAGATCTAGATTTTCATACTAATAATCATCCCTGAAAATTTGAAAATGATCTACCAAACGGTTCGCCTGAAAACGCATAGACAAGACTTTACAGACAAAATTTTAGGATGGAAAAATCCAAAATGGCCGACAATAAAAAAGTGATTATACTTTTTTGCTGATTTCTTTTTACAAAATTAGCACATATAACTACTGTTAACAATAACATAGGCTTTTACAATAAAGTACACCTGAAATTTTTTTATAAAGCTACTAAATAGTCTAAGTATGAAAACTCAAAAACACCATTCAATATGATACAAAGTATTATCGCACGCTAACTTTTCTTAAAACATTCAAAATGGCTGCCATGACTGGGCTAACAGGTCCAAAACCTAATCAGATCTAGAATCAAATGAGCTGAACAGGATGTTAAAGTTTTAAAAGCAACAGTGAAGCCATTTTTCTTAAAGTTTGCATACAAGGATTTTAGCATTTGACTTCAAAATGGCCGACAGGAAGTAGGTATCGACTTGAAACTTTTTCGTCCACATCTGTATGCACTCATAAGTTATCCCTGAATATTTGAAGGTGATATCGGTAGCGGTTTTGGAGACAGACAGACAGACGGACGGACAGACGGACGGACAGACGGACGGACAGACGGACGCGCCTAGGCCGACAATATGGCCCCACACTATGTGGTGGGGACATAAAAAGGGTCAAAAAGGTATTTTTTCAAATTGACCAAATTTTTTTTTCAAAATCATCTACAAGTTCTCAGAAATTCAAATCTGACTGAAGACTCTTAATATTGTGAGCAACTAGGTGGTGACATTTTGTCATGTTAATGCCTTGTTTTCTAGCTGTTGTGCAGTGTAATTACATAACTGATGTGATCCAGCATTCTATTTATTCTTTGAGAGTAATTTCGAACTCCTTAACAGCAGAGAGATGGTACTGCTACTGAGCAACAGCTCAAAAAGGTCACCAGGGGATAACTTCAATTAGAAATATTCAAATCTAAGATGAGGTGGGCATTATTGAATTCATGGTTACATTTACTAATAATGGTGAACTACTTGGGTAAAAGGATTTTTTAACAATTGAACTAAATTAAACATTTTCTTGAATTTTGGAATATTGGCAATGTTAAAGTGTACCTAGACTATTCATCGAGTGTTGATAATTCTTCAGAATGTTTGAATAACTAGAACATTCAGTGGTTTACTTTTCAAAAATTCCCTTTAGACCTTAAATTATCATGTTTTAACCTTACAATAAACCAAACAATACTATAGATATTATTTGCCTATATACTGCATATATTTAATTGGCTAGCAATAGTGTATGCTTGTACATAATTCTTACAATATACTACAGTATTATCATATATAATATTATAGCTACATTATGTACAAAGAATAATTACATAAATAAACCATATACATGTATATGTGTGATCAGACATGTACACAATGTAGTGTACATATGTGATAAAACATACATTTTAATTGTTTATGAAATATATACATACCAAGGTATTATATATACAGTATATATGTGACACATACAGAGTACATGTATATATTTACATGTGTGACACCATAAAATGTGATACCATACTCTACCAAACATGTGTGATACCATAATGTCAAACAATGTGGGTGATACCCTTTACTACAAAAAATATGTAATACACTGTTCTACCAAACATGAGTGATACCATAATAGTCTATCAAACATGCGTTATACCATAATAGTCTATGAAGCATGAGTGACACCATAGTCTATCAAACATGTATGATACCATAGTATATCTTACATGTGTGATACCATAGTCTATCAAACATGTGTGATACCATAATAGTCTATGAAGCATGAGTGATACCATAGTCTATCAAACATGAGTGATGCCATATTCTATCAAACATGTGTGATACCATAATAGTCTATGAAGCATGAGTGATACCATAGTCAATCTTACATGTGTGATACCATAGTCTATCAAACATATGTGATACCATAGTCTATCTTACATGTGTGATACCATAGTCTATCTTACATGTGTGATACCATAATAGTCTATCAAACATGTGTGATACCATATTCTATCAAATATGTATGATACCATAATCCATCAAACATGTGTGATACCATAGTCCATCAAACATGTGTTATACCATAGTCCATCAAACATGTGTGATACCATAGTCCATCAAACATTTGTGATACCATAGACTAACTAACATGTGTGATACCATAGACTACCTAACATGTGTGATACCATAGACTACCTAACATGTGTGATACCATCCATAGCATAACCAAATGATGAAATAAGTGTATCAAACATGTCTGTTAACATTAGATGTCAAAAGCATATGTGATATCATAGTCAACTGTAGTGTATCCAACATGTGTGATACAACACGTGTGATACAACAGTGTCCAAATATGAGTGAGTTTATCCCTGCTGAGCTAAGGAGACAGTTTGAGGTACAAGTACTTGTTATATTTTTCACAATTACACTCTTCATAGAATCATTGAACTCGATGTAAGGAAAACTCAAAAAAGATGTTCCTGCATCACGGTTCCTGGTTAATTTGTCTGAATGGTTTTCCAAATACAAATACAGATCTCACATTGCAATTTGTAACTTGAACAGACATCAACATAATATTTTTTCTAACACAATTTTTGAATTAAAATTTTCAATATCAAATCGTGTGTTCCACTTGTTTCATTTCAATAAATAAATTATCGGAAAAAAATAAAATATTTGGTCCACATGTTAAATGTGATGTATTTACAGTATGTACAAAAATGAGAAATCTTACATGGTTAATAGAGAGACTTCACAACTCACTTATAGCATGTTTATCATTCCTGTATAAGGTATAACCTATGAAGCTTTTGATTGTGTTATCATTTATTGCACAGCTTTATATGTTCATAAGTGTGATATTCTTATAAATCTATATATGATATCACACTATATATAATATATGAATATCACACTTATGGATATATAGAGCTGCGCAATAAATGATAACACAATCAAACACTTTATAAGTTAGAATGATAAACATGCTATAAGTGAGTTGCGAAATCTCTCTAATACCTGTAATACACTTAATATTTTTCATTACAAATAATATGTAACTTACACAATCAATAGAACTTGGACATAAACCTTCTTTTGTATAATTATCAAACCTTGAAAAAGTTGTTCATTTGTCAAAGGTGACTTATTGTATTTTAATTTTTAGAATTGACAAAATTGAAAAAGCTGGAACTACTTTTTTCAACTTGGAACTTGTCACAATGCTCACAAAGTGTAGTATTTTTCCAGCTTTAATTCAATATTTTCAGAAAAGAATGTTTGTTCAAAAGTTTAATGATAGTGAAGGAAACATATTAATATAAAGTAAAAATATTTTGAGTTAATTTACAATTGAAATGTTAGACACTACCCTTTTAATTTAAAACAGAATGTGAGTGCTTTTAATGATACCTCAGTGTTTTTTTTACTTTATACTAAAATAAATTGTGTACTCTCCATTTGAACTAATAAGTACCAAATTAAATATATTTTTACAGTTCAAAGTTTAACATAACTACCATATCTATGTTCCGCATGGTATCACATCTAGTTTAAACGTTTCAGTTCACCTTGATATTAGTCAGTGTATTGTTATCCATAAGTGTTCCTCCAAAATGTAAAATAAAGTAGGTTTGACCTTTTCTAAAACATAGAGACATTTTCTGTGAGATTTCCAGAACCTTTTGACTTCAGGAAAAATCCTGATTAAGTCTGGCTTGTGCAAGTCTTTTGGAAACATCAATGACTTCTGAAAGCTAGACTTCTGGGGAAATTTCATTTTCTACAATTTTTTTTAGTTTGAAGGAACTATGTGGATTAGTCGACCCTTTTATTATTTAATAGGAAAAATAACAAAACAGATGATTTTGGTCCAGAAACTGCCAATAAATTAAATATGTACAAATCCTTAATCCTTAACTTCTTAAAGGCTCTGTGTTCTCTCATAGAAAATTTGTAACCACAATGTTGTACCAGGAACTGGGAAATATTGTGAGGTGGAACACCCTTTAAAAAGTTTTACATTATTTATACCTATTTTCCCCACACATTCGCCCCATGGTTACAAATATTATTTAGAGAATCACATATCCTTCATGAAGTTCCAAGAGTGAACTTCACTACCTTAACTTAAGTCACTTTGCCAGTATATACAAATAAAATGATGCCTTGTAGCATGTTCCTGTTAATAGAAATGATACAGGCAGAACTAATAACAAATGGGTGTTCTTACTGAATTTACACTGGTTTAAAATAAAAAAACGCAAAAATGCTAAAAGAGGTAAAACATAACCAGTGTTTTATCATAGGGTGGGAATACCTAATTTTTTGGGTTAAGTGCGGGAGTTAGACATTTTTTCAAGAAATATCAAAATTTTGCATAATTTATAAACTTAAAAGCCATTAATATCAGAATAAATAAAACATCAAATGTCATGAATGTAAAGGCTAAATCAATCATTCTTCTGCAGAGATTTGTTCTGATCCAATAAGAAGTTACAGAAAATAGGGCAAAAGGCATGACTCTGAAAGATTGTGAAATCCTTGATATTTCTTGGTAAACTGTCATGTTCCTGCATTTTATCAAAAATTGATGTTCCCATCACATGTGTACACATTTGTGTATTTATGAGAATAAAATAACTTGGCATTTGGTGTAAGTTAGAAAATTAATATTCAAATGAGACATTTTGTGTTAATTATCTTCACAAAATCTAATAAAATCTTGAATTTATTTATTTATATTCTGTAGGTCTCAGTGATTTCTTCAGCATTCCTTTCTCAGGTGAGTGCAAAATTCATGTTTTCTCATTATTTCACAAAGTTGGTCAAAATACCAGATTTTTCATGATTTCCATGTGGTGCAAATGCGTTAACAGCCTGGTGCAGTGTTTTCAAAACCTCAAGTGTAAGAGGCCTGCCTTAATTCTGGGGATATCACTGAGTCTATAGATCCTGGTTTGTACCAACTTTTTTACTCATATTTGATAGGTCAATAGTGAAATCACAGAAGGAATAATAGTAAAAAACCTATTTGATTTGGTTCAGTTTTGAAACAAAAACAGTTACAAAAAATTAGAATGCATTTGCGCATTTTTGGTGCACACATTTGGAATATGAGTTTTTTTACAATTCTAGAAAATTTCGAAAACTATGGGAGTGAGTCAAAATTATTGTTTCTTTAATTACCACAGGCATTGGCTTAGAATATATCATATCCTATCAGATTATCTTAAATAATGTCAGTTGCCTGATTGGTCAGAATACAATATACATGTATGGTCCTATGATGCTAATTTTACCCATAATGCACTAAAATAAGCAGATGGTAGTTGTACTAGGAATATCTGTAACATTCTTTCTACACATGTTATACATGAATACAGTATTTCCCAAAATGCACTAGAATAGGCAGACAGTCCTTACAGTACTTCTTGATTGGTCAGAATATATTTCCTACGATTTGTCAAATTATACTAGACTACAGCATTTAGTTTGTGGAGGTTTCCGTACAAGCGCAACCTCCGTATCACTCTTCTCGCTGTGACTGTTCCGATTAACATCCGTCTTACTACGATTTCGTTGTCTTTTTCTTAACTTGACATAATAAGTGCCAGTGTCTGACACGGACCCTTGGTCCTCTTTACAGCGAAACTTCTCCTGGAGATCGCTAAAGTCTTTAGACCTTACATGGATAACTTTGGTCTGGTATCTATTCTCTAAGTTCATTGTCTCTACATCTTGCGTCATGTAGTAACCCCTGAAGGAGCCTTTGGGTGTACCCGTGCATGAATCCACAATGTAGCGGCTACCTCGGCTCGCCAAGCTAGATAGACTTAGATTAGATATATTAGAAGCTATACTAAAATTACTAGTTTTTCTGAAACTGCCTTTCCCACTGTCTTTCCTCGACAATCCATCTTTGCTTTTCTTTGAGCTGTCATTCCTATGTAGGTCACCATTGCTACACGTACTACTATGATTACTGTCCTTTCTCACGAGTTCAACATTTTTCTCAGTACTGCTGTTACGAACCTCATTCAGTACTGAATTGTTAGAGTTGTTATCCCCGAGACCGTTCTGCTTTCCCCCACTACTCCCTCCTTTACTCTCAGTTTTAGAGTCATTAGCATGGGAACTGCTCACCCGACATGATCTATGGGAGCTGACAAATTGTCGACCTCCTCCACCTACCCCACCTGCCCCCGCAGGACCATCAGTATCGCTAGAATGGTCACTGCTGTCACGACGTTGAAATCGTTGTTTGATTTTCTCTTTACGTTTGCGCCGATCAGTCTCATCCGTATCACTAGCGTCACTACTGCTACAGCTTGTGCCATGTTTTGAACCTTTTCCAAGACGCTTTTTCTGATGGGTTAGTTTACGAAGCACCTCCGGGGAGGCGAGTGTGGCCCTCGAGTGGAGCATGCGATGAGGGGAAATCTTAGGGGGTAGAATATCATCTTCTTCTTCACTCTCGGCTTCAGTGATCTGATTCAACAACTGAGGGGAGCTGCGCACTGAATGTAACGGCCGGGTCAGGGGTAAAGTTCGCGAGCGTATTTGTTGTAATGTGGTACGAGAGTCAGTATCAGTGCTACTACGTGAATCTGAATCACTGCAATCCTCGACTGATTTTGACGTTTTCATTTCCTGATTTTCAACATCCATATCTGAGTCCTCTTCAACTTCTTCCCGGATGAGACTAAATTTACGTCCCAGGAAGCCATGTTCGGCTGGTCCCGGTCCTGCACCTGCCGGAACTCCTAGGTTATTTGAGGAGTTTGCCATCATGGCACCAGGTGGAGACACTAGTGAATTCATCATGGTAATACGTCGTTGACTATCGGGGCTGACACCAGGTGGGGTCTCAGAACTGGAAGCACATAATGTGAAAGCTTAATTAACAAGATATACAGTTACCATAAAATGTATAACAGAGTTTTTGTAAACTGATCAATTATTTGTCAAAAGTGCAACCTGATTGGTCCATTTACTTACGTATAATGTTAAAACAATCATATTACAGGTATTTCTAAGGTATATAAATATATGTCATCAGTTTACAGGTGGCAAATGTCTCCTTCTACTGAAACATTTATTGATCAATATATTATACATTATTCAAACATTTTTTCAATATACATATAAATATGAACACATATTGGGTACTATATTCTCTACAAAACTGCAAAAGAATAATTCACTTGGGATTTAGAAATATGTAAAAATACAAAGAAAATCTGAACAAAAAATGATATGGGCAGACCATAACAACTATGGACCTAAACTTTTTACATTCTACTAGAAATCTTTTTTCAGAAGCAACCACTAGACCAAAGCTTTTTGGATCTCCCAACAGCCTTTAGTATTTTTAAAGCATTTTGTTTCGCAGGTAAATGACCACATGAAATAGAGAGTAGTTCAACGAAATACTCTGGTACAGGGACCATTTGTCAAACTCTAATGCCAAAACAACCAGGAATTACTCTAGAAAAGTTTAGGCCCCTCGATATATAAGGTCAACCCTTATAAAAAATTCAACCTTGAAAGTCCGAATTTAAACCGTTTTCATCAATCATTGAATACTGATTGTTTCAACTACTAAGATCAAAGGAAAAACCATTGTATGATGATAAGCAATCATTGTACAACCATTGCGTTCAACCAAGCAAAGTCAACTCTTTTTCAACGACTGCGCAACCATTTCTATACAATCATTGTAATTTGCAACCATTGTAAACTGCAACCATTTCACATTGAAATGTAAATGGTTGCAATATGTTTTGTTCAATGATTACATAGTTCAACCCCTGCAACCATCCTGAATTAGTATCGTTCCAAAATAATAATCATTTTACCTGAATTAAAATTATCTTTAAGTAAGGATTTGAATCTACCTCTATTCAACAACAGTATATTAGGATATTTTTTCTGCAAGCATACATGCATGTTTATTATAGTAAATTACTAAATTCATGTTCTTATGTTTCTTTCTCCAGTACGGATTTAAGAATGCGATACCAGACGAGTTTTCCACTCAATGGCATATGATAATTTATGTTCTCTGTCATTTACATTATTTACACAATTAAAAATACCATATCTAGTGTTTATTTCCCTTTATCTGATATTGCCAAAATGATCTTTATGTTAATTATGAAAAGAATTGAGCAAAATTCCAATTTGGTTAAGAAATTGACCAAAGAAAATCTTAAGATTTCCTTTAAACTTAACAAAATCACAAGATGAGATACAATGGTTTTTGTTCATGATGAGACTGATATATGATCAAAAGAAGCAGGATATGATGTACAAAATAATACAAACATATGTAATCACAAGTTGATTGCTTTATTTAGTGAAAATGTTTTTATAGTAATAATGCATACAGGCAGCAAAGACTTAAATTTCAGTTTCAATTGGAAAACATCTGAATTAATGATTTCAGTAAAATTTTGTTAAGGTAGATGAATTATTGCTACATGATATACAAATAGATTGGTATGGGAACATATTGATATCGGAGGGTTTAGCTTAGGACCCCTGCAAAAGTTTATATACAATGAACAGGCCAGTAGCCAGCCCCCCCCCCTCAGCAAAATGGGTCTTCAAATGTATCCATATATGTGAAGTTAACACCTAATATCAAGAGTATGACTCACTAAAATTTAAAAAATACAAACAAGAGAACTATTTTGATATTGACTGTATATTATGTGTGAAACACATTATTCACAACAGATTTAATTACCATGTTCTTTCTTGGCAAATATTTTTATAACAATGCTCAACACAACAATACCTACTACATATTGATATTCTCATAGGTTTAGGCAAATCAAAATGCTTGAACAGCCAATTAAAACGGTTGAACAGCTAATTAAAACGGTTGAACAGCTAATTAAAACGGTTGAACAGCTAATTAAAATGCTTGACCAGAAAAAGGGTTCATAGTCCAAGTTTCTGTTATATCTATTTTCATCTTGTGTTAAACTATATATTTATTTTTATTCTCTATTTCATGCACAGGGGGGGGGCTTCAATAAGTGCTGAGAAATCTCAAATAGCAAGTATATGAAACTGCAAATAATATTTTCAGAATTTTTCACTTCATTTTTTTAGTTTGCTTTACCATGGGCATTCAATAATTTGAAAGTCCATTGTTTTACCGTACTGTATTCACAAGGGCAGAGCATTTGTACTGAAATAATATGTGTTAACGATTAACAAATAAAACCAAAAACAGGGCTTATTTTTCAAAACTCTAAACTTGGAAAAATCTGGAGGACAATATGGGAGATTTTCTTTGGCAAATTATTTATCAAGTTCTGTGTATGGAATAATTTAAATTACATAGGATGCTTCCTTTATAGCAGACTCTAATCAAACAGAGAATCTCTCTGTACTAAGGTTTGTTTTGCCTTGCCGAATTATTTTTGTTTTGTTTATGGATTAATAAAGTTTCTTTAGACACATCCTTCAAAGCAGACTCTAATCAAACTAGAGAGACTGAGTCTAACTGTAATCAGAGTTTTATAAGTTATGCTTATCGACTTAATTATTTAAAGCACATCCTGTAATGTCTGATTGCATTTTCTCTATCAAATCAAAACTATAAAATCAATAAACAGATTATTTTCCGATTGAAGGATTTCTTCCTTTCAGACACATCTTCCTCCCTTTATAATTGTGATGATTGCAAGGTGAAGTGTAAAATCCAAGACTTGACACAATCACATTTTTTTCAAATGTTTTTGCAATAACTTAAAAAGTAGTGAAGGGATTTTGTAAAAAATGATAGTCATGACAGCGAGGGGATTTGCTATGCCTTAGCATTGCTGTTATCTAGATAAAATACTTGTGAGTGGGACAATCACCATCCTTCAAAGTTTGATGAAAATTGGTTCAATATATTTTCATTCACAAGACAAGTTTAGTAAACTATTTCAATACTTTAAATATATTTTTGATCAAACCATTTAAATTCTGACATGTATGCATGAAATACATACATTTGAAATATATTTCTTAAAGAGCAAGATAATTATTTTATGTAGTATTGAGATTATATTGTCATAGTTTTAAAGGGTTGCATTCGATTGAAACGGTTGCAAGAAATGCAACCAAAATTGTCAAGCGTTTACAATGGTTACATATGATTGAAACATTTTCAATGAGTTTACAACCAAAATTGTAATGGTTGCATCGTAACGGTTGGCATGGTTGCATAAATGATCGGATCAATGATTGTACAATGATTGTGCAACGGTTTAAATTCGGACTTTCAAGGTTGAATTTTTTATAAGGGAAACCAGCAATAATTTAAATGGTGCTCAATGAGCCATAAAGTTGATCAGTAATAAGATCTTTGGCAATCAATTTCACAAACACACATATTATCATTCTCCCAGTATATGCAAGTTAAAAAATATGTTTCCCGTAAGTTGAATTGTGGAATTCTGCAGAAGAAAATTTAAAAAAAAAACAATAAACAATTTTTTGCAAAAATATTGTGATAGTTCTTCATGCAATTACAGAAATACATGTACATATATTTAATACTATGAAAACCTTTTTACAAAAATATTAAGATGGTTCATCATGGACATGCAGCCATCTTGCAAAGATAGCATTGTAAGAATTTGAAATATATTTTTGGGTTGAAATTTTACCCAGAAATGTGCAATGGTAAGACAGATTACTCGTCATACTTCTTCTCAATTCTGAGAATGTTTCAATTCTGCTAGATATTTTCTGGAAATGAATCCAAATTCTGAAACTCTACAGGCCAAGCCCAATTCCATCAGCATAGTGCAGAAGCTGAAACTGGGAGCTAGAGTGCATAACCGATACATAACAATATAGCATTTATACTCAAAGTTCACCAATCATTCCATGCTCCAAACTGTGATCATGCTTTTCCACACCATTCCTCTCTTCAACTTGAAAAACTACTTGGTTTCCAGGAATTTCTATTTGAGTTTTAAGATCTTACTACACTTAATAGGAAGTGATTGCAAGATGGCCACTCCAAAGCAAGCTTTAACATTTTTACTTCTTTTTTTGACTTTCGATTTACTGGAGCTTTGGAGCAGCCATTTTGCATTATCCACTTCCTGCTTAGTGCCGGGGCTTGGTGTAGTTAGACCCAAAGAATGAACTCCATGCCCCTCCATTCAAATATTGGCTTGTTTTTCCATTTCACAGAATATAATGCATTTTCGTAACATTACTATCTTTGGCGGGAATGTACACTATAATTCACTATGCAAGCAGACAAACGTAGTTCTCACTTTGCAAACAGATGACAGTTCATGAACTGATATGATGTGGAAATACAACCAACCCTGCACCTCTTTAGTCAAAGATCAGTATTTATTAAGTGATTAATGCCTCATTAATTAAAGTATACAGTATATCCATAGAAGAAGTGAGTAGCTGAATCCATAATTATTTGGTATTACATGTACATTTGTACATGTTATCAGGGGCATCCCTTAGCTTTCCCTAACTGGTCCTACAAGCCTTATATGGATCCATCACATGACATTCAAAATGGCGGACAGAAGTAAGGAGGATTGGCTCCAAGGATAGAAACTCAATATTTTCCAACAATGGAAACGTTGAAATGTCGTTATTTTCCTAATTTGTAACCAACTATAAATTCAAAATAAACAGTCCAAAAGATTGGAACCAATCATTTCTTGTGAGTTTTTGACCAAAATTCACGATTCAAACGTTGAAGTGCACAAAATAAGGGCTGTTTGAATTCCAATTTTGTAATCACGACATGCCCATATTTGGAAAAAATATTGATGTTGCACTCTGGGAGCCAATCCTCCTTGGTGGTTCTCCCAATACCAACTCTGAACT